GCGGCGGCGGCGGTGGTGCTGGCCTCCGCGGGCGCGGCGGCAGCGGCTATGCTGTGCGCGGCGCTGCTCCGCGGGAGTGGTCCCTCGCGGGGGAGCAGCGCCGCGGAGTCGCTGCAGGAGCCACGGGGACGGCGGCTGCGGCGGCGGCGGGGACGGCGGCGGCGGGGCGCGGCGGCGGCGTGCGGCGGACCTCCGCGCGGGCGAGCAATGCTGGGGGGGCGCTGCAGGATTCGCGTTCTTGCCCAGGGAGGAGGGTGGAGGAGGGCGACTCAGACCCCCTTCGCATCGTGAGCAAACCGCGACGGGATTCTTGGGATACTTTTCAGCTTCATGGCCGTCGGCTCGTTATTCAGGATGAGAAGTCGGTCCCCAGGAAGTTGTCGAGACCTGTGGGCGCCCTTGTTGCATAAAAGCATGACGTCGGGGGTTCTGGGTAGGGGGAGAGGGAACGAGGTCCGTAGGGATTTTTGGGTTGGCGCGGGACCACCCTTCCCACGCCCCTTCCCTGGCAAGCGGAGCGCCCCAGGGGCGGCGCCGGTGGCGCAACCAGGGGCTTGGGGAGGGAAGTCCAGCGCCGACCCCCGAAATCTGCGCGGCCCTCCGAGCCCGAGCACGACATTTCATACGACAGGGCTGCGTCAAGTGGTGTCCTCGGCGCGCGTGCGACGCCCGCCCGCGTCCATAGGACAACATTCAACGTGTGGGACGCGCGTCGCATTCTGCCCTCGGCCACCTTTGGACAAGTGCGCTCTCAGGGCCAATTCGGTTCCCCTCCTAGGGGCCGAAAACCTTCCAGAGCATGCTGCCTTTCCAATGTGTATGGTTTCTGGAAAAATCGCGACTCAAGCCCCAGGAGCGTGTGGAAGCGCCACGAAGCGCCCAGGGATACTGGAAATCTGGGGGCTTGCCTTTTACATGTGCCTGCAATCGCCCGAACATACTTCGAAGGGACCTGATGACACTCCACTCAGTTCCCACGACAGCAGACTTAATTGTTTCTTGTTGTTCAATGTGGAGAGGTCCTGCCGAAGCTTGCTCGGTGTTTTCTGTCGCCCCCCACCTCGTGTCCTCTGAACAGGAGCGTTTCGGCCTGAGGCTTTCGGAGGACGCGGTGGGCTCTCAGCTCTTCAACTGCCTCGAGGACTTGGAGACGTGGACGGGCACAAAGGGTTGCGAGTCTGTGGGGAGAAGGCGATGTTTGATTGGTAAGGGGGCGGTGGCAGAGTAAGGGAGGTGGAGGAGAACGAATAAGGAAGTAGATGGGACAGTGCTCATCACATTCGTAGGTGCAATGCTGTCAGGGTGCTTCGCTGGAGTAGACTTCCGTCAGCGGTGCCGGCGGCTTGTGCTGTGCAGCCGGGGTCGCGGCGGCACGATGCAACACTGCGTGTGCTACGAGCGCGGGTGAGGGAGGAGCAGGGCCGCCCTCCGGCCCAGGTGGGAGGACGCGTGGCCGGAGCCGAAGAGAGCGTTCTGCTGCGAGACCCGGTGGATCGGGTGTTCGGACGGGGATGCGCCCCTCCGTGCGGCGGCGGCCGTGGATGCTGTGCGCGAGTTCTCCAGCGTGCGCAAGCCTCGCTCGGGTGCTGCCGCTGGTGCTGACGGTGCAGAAGAGGCGGGCCTGGGAGAGGTGGGCGGGGGCTCGGATCCGAGCGCGCTGCCCATGCCACCAGCACCCTTCAGCTCTATTCGGATCACATTCATCGTTTTGATTTCCGCTGGAGCGGGGTCTTGCCACCTCAGGACATAGAGCGATGATCGAGTGTCATGTGGGGCTTGAGCGGCGGCGGCGCGGGGTGGGTTTGTGGGTGTCGAGGCTTAGTGAATGCAGTGGGGCTGGCTCAGAATTACTTAGCTGCCTGCGCTGAACCTTCCGACGCAGCATCGGAATGCATGCAATATTGATCAACCGAGCTCTCTCGAGACGGTTCGGTAGAACCATCTCGGGGCCGTCTGGGAAGCAGCGCCACGATATTGTAGCGTGACGTGCCCAGCATCTTGCATGAATGTCGCGTCGCATCATGAGGTCTTCTTGGAGGCTTCTTGGGGGCTTCCTTGGGGTCTTTGATTGTCTTTTGCCCTATTTCTTGGCCTTTCGGGTGCTTCACGGGCGCTTCTGGAGGCCCTCTCGAGGGCCTCTTGGGGACCCACTTGGGCTGGTCGGATCTCGGAGCACGTCTGCAGCCCTCCTGGGGCGACCTTGGGCCGTCTTGGGGGCTCTCGGGCCGTCTCGGGTGTTGCCAGAGGTGGCCTTGGCTCAGAGCACCCCTCACGAGGTTCAGAAGGCCCCAGGGGCTTCAAAATGGCTCGAAAAACTGGGGACACCATGGGCCAGGAGCACCTCTGGCAACCACCGATCCTGGGACTTCCGTGGGCCGTCTTGGGCCAGCGAGGAGGAGGAGGACGATGAGGAGGAGAAGGAGGAGGAGGAGGAGGAGGAGGAGGAGGAGGAGGAGGAGGAGCAGGAGGAAGAGGAGGAGGAGGAGGAGGAGGAGGAGGAGGAGGAGGACGAGCAGGACTTCACGTGATTACTTCGGGCCGCCTGAATTTTGTTAATGGGCCCAGTTTCTTGGTGTCACCACCCTGTAGAGCACTGTGGGCGCGAGCGTCTGTCGTGGCTGACCCTCGTCATCAGGGCAATCATTGGGCAAGGTAATGCCGCTTGCAGGAAGAGGACGTGAGGCCCTCCCGAGGCCCCCTCTACCGCTGCCAGGGTTGCAGCAGCAGCCGCTGTTGGCGCCGCCGCCCTCGCCGCCCTCGCCGCCGTCCTTGTCGTCGTACACGCCGCCGCCTTCGCCGCCGCCGCCTTCGCTGTCGCCGCGGCCGCGGCTCGGGTCGCGGGGCGGCTCGCAGCCACTGGAGGAGCTCGGGCGGCTGTCGCAGAGGGGCAACGGTCATGCCGTCCGAGGAGGAAGGAGGGTCGAGGATCGACGATGGCGACGGCGTCGAACAGTTTTTCCCAACCATCCTGCGGTGTTGGGTCTTCGTTTTGAAGAGACGGTCCCCGCGTTCTCCTTCCTTCCTCTTCCCCCCCTCCTCCCTCCTCCCGTCACCCCCCTCACTTTGGTACACCCCTCACACGTTCCGCGGCCCCAGGGAGCTCCACCGAAGGCCCCAGTGCCACCGCCCGCATGCGCCACGCACATCCATTTCGGCACCCCTCACACGTTTCGTGGCCCCATAGGGAGCTCCACCGAAGGCCCCAGTGCCACCGCCCGCATGTGTAACGTACACGCATTTCGGTACACCTCTCACACGTTTCGTGGTCCCATAGGGAGCTCCACCGAAGGCCCCAGTGCCACCGCCCGCATGCGTCACACACACAAATTTCGGCACACCCCTCACCCGTTTCGTGGCAGGGAGCTCCACCGAAGGCCCCAGTGCCACCGCCCGCATGTGTCACGCACACCCATTTCTGCACAGCCATCACACGTTTCGTGGCCCCATAGGGAGCTCCACCGAAGGTCCCAGTGCCACCGCCCGCATGCGTCACGCACACCCATTTCGGCACACCCCTCGCGCGGTTTGTGGCCCCAGAGGGAGCTCCACCGACGGCCCCAGTGCCACCGCCCGCATGCGCCACACACCCATTTCGGCACACCCCTCACAAGTTTCGTGGCCCCATAGGGAGCTACACCGAAGGCCCCAATGGCTGCGGTCGCATGCGTCACGCATGGCCGTTTCGGCACACTCCTCACAAGTTTCGTGGCCCCATGGGGAGCTCCACCGACGGCTCCAGTGCCACCGCCCGCATGCGTCACACACACACACAAATTTCGGCACACCCCTCGCACGTTTCGTGGCAGGGAGCTCCACTGGAGGCCCCAGTGCCACCGCCCGCATGCGCCACGCACACGCATTTCGGCACACCCCTCACACGTTCCGTGGCCCCATGGGGAGCTCCACCGGGCCTCAGTGCTACCGCCCGCATGCGTCACGCACACCCATTTCGGCACACCCCTCGCACGTTTCGTTGCCCCATAGGGAGCTCCACCGACGGCCTCAATGTCTGCGTTCGCATGCGCCCACCGCACCTGTTTCGGCACACCTCTCACGCGTTTCGTGGCCCCACAGGGGGCTCCACCGAAGGCCCCGGTGCCACCGCCCGCATGCGTCACCCACGCCAATTTCGGCACACCTCTCACGCGTTTCGTGGCCCCGTAGGGAGCTCCACCCCAATGGCTACGTTCGCATGCGCCCACCGCACTCACGCGTTTCGTGGCCCCACAGGGAATTCCACCGATGGCCGCAGTGGCTGCTTTCGCATGCGCCCACCGGACAAATTTTGGCACAGCCCTCACACGTTTCGTGGCCCTATGGGGAGCTCTTCCGTCTCCTGCGCTCCCGCGCCCCTTGTGTTCCCGAGGCGCTGTACCCTCTTGAATTCCCGAGGCGCTGTACCCCCTTGAATTCCGGAGGCGCTGTACCCCCTTGCGCTCCCGACTCTGGGGCATTTCTGGTTCTGGCGTACCGGCCCATCGGCTATCCGCTGGCCCATCCCTCCGCTTTCCCACCACCACCACATACCAACCTCCAGACACCACCAACTCATCCTCTGCTCCAGGGGGGCACGACTTCTTTGCCCCGTTGGTGCCGACAGGATGCACCGGCACATATGTCAGGACGCAGCATTCAGGAATTCCAGTGGTTCCACACGCGTGCAAGGACTTGATGGGTTGCACCGCGATGTCGGCGCGGGACGGTAGATTTGTCGGCGCCTACGTCAGCACAACCGTCGGCGCCTACGCCAGCGTCGACGCCATCATGCACGCATTCGATTGCGCCGGCACCGACAGCAGCGCTTACGCCAGCGCCGACGCCAGCACTGACGCCTAAACGAATTCCAGCGCCTGCACTGGCACCAACGACAGCGCCTACGTCAGCACCAATGTCCTCACCGACACCAGCACCAACGTCGACGACTACGCCAGCACCAACGTCGACGCCTACGCCAGCACGACGCCTACGTCTACTCCCGCGCCGACCTGCTTGGCGGCCCCCGCGCCGACCAGCTCACCTACTCCTACGCTGAACAGCATACCGACTCCCACGATGAACAGCATGCCGACTCCCGCGCCGACCAGCTGACCCAATCACGCACCAAGCAGCTCGCCGCCTCCCGTGTCGAACAGTTCACCGACTCCCACGCCGACCAGCCCCTTGACTCCTGCGCCGACCAGCTCGCCGACTCCCGCGCTGGCCTGCTGCCGACTCCCGCACCGACCAGCCGATTCCCGCGCCGATCGGCTCACCGACTCCCGCGCCCACCAGCTCACCGACCCCCGCGCCGATCAGCCCACGACTCCAGCGCCGACCAGATCACCGACTCCAGTCTTGACCAGTGCACCGTCTCTTGCACGGACCAGCTCACCGACTCCCTCGCCGACCAACCCCCATCTGAGCCAGAGGATTGCGCCACGACTGTGAAGCTGGAGCAGCCGCACCACGATTGTGACGCAGAAGAAAAAGCTGCACTTTGTTCGTGCAATTTTTGTTGGCCTCCTTCACGCTGCCTCCACCTTCACCGCATCCCGGGTGAGCATCGCGTCGATGGCCAGCACTGTTGTACCGAGCCGGCCACGGTGTCCACTATGGAAAGAGGGGCGCGTTTTGTGAACCTCCGTCCTGGCAGCGTGGCCGATACCACCGAGAGCATCGACTGTATCGTCACCGACTGCATGCTGCCTGCCACGCCGGAGTCGAGCATTTGATCAGACTCGGAACCAAACTCCTATTCCATATGCAACTCCGACTCCAACTCCGACGCCTGCGTGGTCACATTTACCTGGACAGCTGAGGAGGAGGAGGAGGAGGAGGAGGAGGAGGAGGAGGAGGAGGAGGAGGAGGAGGAGGAGGAGGAGGTGGGGGAGCAGCAAGGTTGCGAGGTGGCGTCGTCGGCTTTTTTTCGCTCAGCAGGCTTCTGTTTTTTTCCTGGGAGGCTCTTGATAATTTCTGCGTACCGCCCAGGGAATTTCCTGGTTCGCCGCGCTCGCTTCCGGCTCGCGATCCTCGTTGGACTAGAACAAATTTCTGGTCCGGGAGGAAACTATTTTTCGTTCACCTTTAGATTTTTCCCCGTTCGCCTCGAGAAATTTCTCTGTCCGCTGGTCGACCCCTATAAGAGGCCCCTAGCTGATGATCCATGTCAGTGGTGTGCTGACATGGGCGGGACGGTGGGATGCAAACCCTGTTTCTAGGGCCGTCTGTTTTGGGGCACGATCCGCGTGAGGAGTGAGTCGAATATGCGGGGGGACGCTATGCGAACTTCCCCACACATCCTTCTAGAGCACGATCCGTGTGAAGGGTGTGCCGAGATGGGCGGAGGGACGCATGCGATTTTTGTCCCTGGCACTGTAAGTGGAGCTCCTGTGGGGGGGGCGCTGTGCGTGTCAAGGGCATGCCGAAATTTGCGGGGCGCTGCTATGTGATCCGCGTGATTGGTACTCAACCACTTCGAGTTCAAACCATTTGTGGGTCACTACTTCAGCCAAGGGCTGCGGTTTGTTAGAGCCTAGGGTGCGTTCCGTGCTGCCGCCACCGTGGCTGTGCCACCGCTGCCTCCGTCTCGCGGCGGGCGTTTCGGTGCGAGCCTGGTGCCGCTCGCGCCAGGCTCCACCCTTACCAGGCCAACAAGGGGCTTCTTGGAACCCACTTCGGGATCCCCTTGCGGCACCCTTGACGCCACTCTTGGGGCTGCTCGTGAGCCCTCGCGGCTTGCACTTAGGGCTGAGGTGGCGCTTCCTTTGGCCCTCTCTTTCTGACGCCATCTTCTGGCTTTCTTGGGGCGCCTCTTGGGTCCCTCCTGTGCCCCGATCTGGAGCCTGCTTGGAGCTCCTTGGGCCACGCTTGTGCAGTTGGTGAGTTCAATGTGGCAGGGCAAGCTTGTGAATCCGCGACCGTTCTGGCTCGAAGGGAGTGGCCTCCCTCATCCGTGCTGGCACATGGAATTGATGAGGGGCCGCGCGAGGCGGCCGATGTAGATATTGGATTGAGATCAAAGGAATTCATTCGTTTTCAGACATTGTGAGAACATAGAGAAACAATTGAGCCCAATACGTGTACCTCTGGCGAGGTCTACCGCAATGACACCTACATGGTAGCGGAGCCGCGTGGATCCACGCGGCCGCAGTGAGCTCACGATGGCTGAAGAGGAGAAGATAAAAGGCACGCGTTCCATCTTGGAACGGGGATCCGAAGACATGGCGTGCCTATCGGCGACGAGCTCTGAACTAACTACCTAGAGGCCAAGAAGTGGCAGGACCGATGCCTGTGCGGCCCACGTCTCGAGGGTCAGATGACTGGGCGAGCAGAGACAGCAGTGGAGAGAGAGGCGTCGTCCAGGATGGCTCAGCAACGCAGACTGAGTACACAAGGTGTTGACATACCTGGAGAAGAAGTGCAGCCGGATGCCAGTACCGGACGTGGGCGCAGAGCTCCAGACGTTCCTGATCAAGACGAGGCGTCGCAAAAGCGAGGCCATGCAGCAGTGGACAGGCAGGTTCGAGGTGGGCTTCCAGTGCTTGCGCAAGGCCCTGGCGCGGGCCCTGGGGAAGGCGAAGACGGAGAGATCGACCGCGCCCTATCGCCAGCGTTGGCGATGAATCGAGCCTGCAGAAGAAGATGGAGAGTGGTCGTGGGCATGGGAGGATGAAAACCATCCCTAGGAGCCCATGGAAACCAGCCGCGAGACGGAGACGGCAGGAAGCGACGACCCGCCATCGGACGACGAGCGTGAGGACCTGTCGGAGGTTTTCCCAGGGCAGGTGCGCGACTCCCTCGAGCTTGAAGCCGTTGGGACTTCTTTGATCACCAGCTGGGAAGATGTTGACCTCCGCTACTGGGACATGAATGTCAAAAAGACGTTCGTGGCGCAGAGCATCGGTCATGGCGAGGAGACCTGATGCGACAACTCGGCGGACCACATGTCGCTGATGGGCTACCGCGAGCAGGAGGATGAGTGCGAGTAACTGGACCTCGACGAGGAGAAGTACCAGGCGTAACTGGCGGCCCAGCAGGAAGAGGCCGCGGCGCTCTCGGCCATGATGAACGCGCGGCGGACCCTGGGGCAGGCCCGAGAAGCATGAGTGAGCGGGTGTCTGTGCGAGTCGTGAATTCCATAGACAGGGTGAGAACTGCCCAGTGGGTAAAGAAGACTCGGAGCCGAATTCATCGCGGCGGTCGACGCCCCAATTCCCGCTAGGCGCTCGGCGACCCTTGCCGAGGCAGTTCGGAGCGCAAGGGAGAATTCAGCCTCCAGGGGACCAAGCAGCTCGTGGATGCGTGAGATGTGGCTCGAAGGGCCGCCAGATGTTCCAGTGCCCGGACAAGTGCGACAGGAGGCGCAGTCGCCAGCGTGGCCGAGAACGACGAGAAGGCACTGGAAGGTCTTGGTCGCGGCACTGGTGGCTGACGACGACGCGGACAAGACGGATATCGCTGCCGAGAAGGAAGCGAGCGCCGCTTTCGCCCTGGCCATGATGGGGCGTGGCGTGGGCATTGTCGACCTGTGCTGCGCCGAATCTGGGCGGCGTGTAGGCTTTGGGCGCCTTCGCCCAGGTCAATTTGAAACGGCATGGGCTTGATCTTGGGCCTGGTGCCTGTCTACTCCTTGGGCGACGGTGAGCGAGGGCGCCCGCGCGGCAGGGTCCGCTTACAGATGCAGGCGGGGGGCCTCATGGGCGACGCGGCATCAGCGGCTTCGACAAGGATGTCCTGGTTTGGATCTGCAAGTGGGCGATGGCTCGCCTGGGAACCGTCTTGGATTGCACTGGTGGTGTTGTTTTCTTCGCGAAGCCCGTCCAGTTTGAGAGGCGCGACAACCGCCGCTGCCCGTCGCTGGTCGGCGACCTGCTCTCGAGGAAGGTGAGGGGCCACGGGGGGCGCGACAATTTCTTCAAGATGGCCGCCGCCCTGGCCATCAGTGAGGGCGCTCAGGATCTCTCTGGCGGCGACGCGTGCGCAGTGGAGTCTCCTGGCCCCGAGTCATGCTCGCAGTCGTGCATCGCGTCTGCCCCGTCGACCATCGGTGCGGGGGGGTCCCAGGCCCTCCATCTCCGTCTATGGGGGCGAGGCCAGAGAAGACGAGAACGGTGGGCCCTGGCAGCCCTGGTGCTTCCGAAGCCATCGCGGTTCAAGACTCAAGAGCAGGGTCCAGGTGAACGGCAGCCCAGCGGCGCGGGGGCCGCCGAGCAGCCGGCGCGGCCATCGCCGCCGCAGTCGCGGGAGCGGTTCTCAGAGATGCAGCGAGGCGTGGTGGAATGGCCACGCAACCGATCAGCTGTGAATGCGCTCGTGAAGGGCGGATGTGGCATACCTGCTCGAGGATGGGGCCGGTCATCGGCCCGACGTGGACGTCCGCGGACCTCGAGGAGATCCTGAAGGGCGCGATTTCCCCAGAGGGCGACGCCGACGACCGCGAGCAGCTGAAGGGGATCGAGCGTGAAGGGGGGCGATCTGATGGCCCTCGCGATCCAGATAGGCGCCCGCGCGACGCCGGGGATGATGCGCGGGGGCCCGCGCGTCAGCATCCGCAAGGCGGTGTTGGACAGGTCCGCGCCGCGCGGGAACGACTATCTGGAGGTCGGCAAGCGCGGCGCCGAGACGTGCCAGGAGGTGAAGTCACAGCATCTGGACTACGCAAGGTGGTGCGTCCAGCAGGCGGGGAACAACGACAGCTCGAGGGGGCTCGAGCGGCTTGCCTCGCGGCTCAACGCCACCGCGGTGGCCGAGAGCTGCGATCGCGCAAAGGCCCAGTCCGCGCCGGCGCAGCCGCGGGCGCCCCATGCGACCGCGACGAGGTAGGCCGCGACAATCACGAGGAGGAGGGGCGCGGGCGCGATGATGCAGGTTTCCGTGGAGGACAAGATCAGCAATATGCAGAACACGATGCAGGATCTGGTGGGCGCCATCAGCTTGTTGTCGGAGAAGGTGAAGGGTCTCGAGGCGGCGGGCTCAGCCAGAGTGCGCGCGTTGGACAAGAGCTGGCAGGGCGCCCCAGTGCCGGGGGGGGGGGGCGCATCGAGTGGTCAGGGCGCGGGGTGGCCATTGAAGAGCTCCAGACCTTGAGCCCTTCCCAGCGGCGCCTCGTCCCCGAGCGCCATCCAGGAGCAGGGTGGCGAGAAGGAGTTCGTGGCGATGATGGCCCGGGACAGCGGCGCGTGCCTGATGGAGCTGCGTTGCAGCCCCATGTCGTCCCTGGGTGCCGAGATGCAGAAGAACCGTGGCCGGGGTTCCGCTGCGCGCGTGAGTAGTTCTGACCGTCGCCTCGAGCAACCCCTTCCTGCTGGAGAAGACTCGCAAGCGGCGTGTGCAGGGAATCCGCGAGCGCGCGGGTGCCGTCCAGGCGGCGTGCGACCGTGCGAACGCCAGTGGGCATGTCCACCGGGAGCGGCCCATCGGCTGCGAGGGGTGGGCGCGCAACATGATCAGGAGGATGGTCGAGGACCCGGGGTGATCGCGGTGAAGGTCGCGGGGTGCGCGCCGGGGGCGAAGACGCCAGACGGGGGCATCGCGAAGACAGCATGCCTGATGGGCGCGACGTCTCCACGAGCGGCGGCGCCTTGGGGTGGAGTGCCCGAGGGGCCGCAAGTGCAGGCGCCTCCGAGGTGGCAGCGCGCGGCAGCCGGTGCATACTACCCAGCCGAGATGGTGCGTCGAGCCGTTGGGCCAATGTTGGAGGGCGAATCTGGTGATTTTGCAGATCGCGTGAGGCGCGTCCGCATGCCCCCGCGGCCAGCGAGGCCGAGAGGCCCGGCGAGCCGATGGAGGAGGCTGGCAATGAGATGAACAGCGACGATGTCCATAGATGTCTCACCGCAGTGCGCCGAGGGCGCGGCCGCGCCTCGCGCGCCGCGATCGGGTCAGCCCCGCGGCGACAGGGGGCGCCCGAGAAATGTCGAGGCGTGCGAGACGTTCGCATGCGATGCCCGCGTCGAGTCGTTCAAGCAGCAGCCTCCAGCTCCACCGGTGCCCCTGGAGAGCATGCCGGCGAAGTGGGGCCGCATCCGGGCGGGCCGGTTCGAGTGGCAGCATCCGCGCCTCGAGGAGAAGCTGAAGGTTGGCATGATCATCGATCAGGGCTGCCGCGTGCGGGTGGCCAAGTGGCTGTGCGGGCTGGCAGGCGCCGCGGCCCATCGGAATCCACGGTGGAACGAGTTGAAGGGTCTCTACGAGGAGAGATGGCCCCCTTACTTTGGGAAGCCCCAGCGGTTCAAGTGCGGCCGGGAGGGGGCTTGGATGGACGAGGCAGCAGCGTTGTACTTCGACAGGGACTCTGACTACCAGGAGGTGATCCCAGACCAGGCGCACTGGCGTGTCTCCAGTGTAGAGGAGGCGACCAGGGCGACGAGGGCGACCATGGACGCGCCGGTGGCCGAGAACCACGCCGCGGCCAGCGAGGAGGCCCCAGCTCGCGTGGTGGCAGCAGGCAGCCCGCGTGCAGACGTTCGAGGCCACTCGTCGCTCCAGCGCGCGCTGGGTCGCGCCCCGGACATGGGCGGAAAATTCTTCGAGTCCGACTTCGTCGAGCTACCCTACTTTGGCGCTTGGCGCGTGGAGGAGCAGTTTGACCGAAACTACAACCCGATGTTTCAGGTCGAGCAGGAGTGTCTCGATCAGGTGTGCCAGCGGAGGATCAGTGGGGCCGTGAACTCGAATAACCGGATGTTCAACAGGGTGGCGCCTGGCATGTTCGTGAGATACTACAGGAAGGAGAAGAGCGAGGTCCGCGGCACCAGCGAGGGGCTGGCGAGGGCCCTGGCTGCTGAGACGGCGCGGACAGCCGGTCGCGACGGTAGCCGGCGGGGCCCGCGTCCCACGATGCACCATGGGCGACTATCGTCGGTGATGTGGCCCATCCGAGGGGGCCGACTCACTATGGCCGACCTTGCGCAGCTACGGGCCGCCAGTGCCCGCGAGGTCGCCTGCGCTGAGGTGGTGGAGGGCTCTGGCGTGACCGCGCCCTGGGCAATCTCCCGGGCCATGGAGGGTGCCCTTCCCGGCCAGTGCATGGACGTCGCAGTGGTCGACCCGATCCAGTGGGAAGAGGACGGGGCCTGGTCGGGGAGCGAGATGGGACCTCCCGCCAAGATGGCCAGAGTTAACCCAGGGGGCGCCGAGGAGGCGCATCCGCGGGAAGACGCGGCCGGCGTTTGGCAGTGCGCTGGCGTGCACTCGCGCCGAAGAGGAGAGGATAGCGCAGGGGCTCAGGGAGCAGGTGGCGGAGGGGCGCAAGGAGGTCGCGGAGAAGGCCGCGCCTCACGCCTCTTGTTTTCGGGCCAAGGAGGAGACCATGATCGAAGTTTTTGTGGAATTGCCGCAGCAGCTCAAGAGGCTCAAGGGACATGAGCTCCTTCGTGGCCAACCAGATCAAGAAGGGGAGATGTGAGGTGTCGGAGCGCGCTGTGACTATCGGGGGGCGGGGGCGGTTTGCCGATGCCGAGCAGGTCGAGGTGAACGACGACATCGCGTCCTCTGTTCTGGAAGTCCCACCCCCCGACGTCGCCCCGCCGCCGAGCGAGGTGATGCGCATGGGGTGGGTCATGAAGCGTAATATATACGAGAAGGACGGCGGCGCCAAGCCGATAGCAATCTTGGTGTTGGGTTGCATGGATCCGCAGCGTGGGTATAGGCCGACTACAGCGGCGCCGAAGATGACAAAGACATGTCGCCACCTGGTCTGAATCGTGGGGGCATGGCTTGGCATGGGCGCCTGCAAGGCGGACGTGGCCGGAGCTTTCGCGCCGAGCAGGCCGACCAGTCGGGGTGACATGTGGGTCGTCCCTGAGCTTGCCGGGGCGATGGGCGTCCCGGAGGGTGCCGCTGCGAAGCTCGAGAAGGCGGCGCGTGGCTTGGTGGAGGCGGCCATAGACTGGTACATGACCGTCTCCGAGGTATGGGCCGAGCAGGGGTGGGCCCGCGTGGAGATGGACCCGCGCGCGTGGGTCCTGCGCGGCAAGGATCATGGCAATGCCATGGAGTGCCCAGTCGAGTCTCGAGACGTACCTCAAGGACAGCCGGGTGAAGGCGGAGATCGCGGCCCACCGAAAGGACCTCGACATCATCGGCGTAGCGGTTTCGCGTGTGGATGACTTCTTGTGCGGAGGGCGCCCTGGCGATCCGAGATGGTTGTGGGCCTGGGCTCGGCTGGGGGCTCGCTTCGACTGGAAGGAGTGGGGGCGTGGCATGTTCTACCAGACGGGTGTGCATATTGTCCAGGATATGGACACGAGGTTCAAGATGGACCAGGAGGGGCGCGTCAGGGGCATCGAGGAGATCTACGTGAGGCCGCCGAGGAAGAACCAGGAGGAGTCCTGGACCACGGATGCGGAGAATACCCAGATGCGAGCAGTACTGGGAGCGATCGGATGGCGCTCTGAACAGACGGAGCCCGTGAATGGCGCAGACGTGAGCTGGCAGCTCAGCAACGTGCCCCACTCGTCCGTGAAGTCGCTAGAGGACCTCAACAAGCTCGTGGATCGAGTCCGGGGGCAGGCGGTCAACGGTGTCAGGATCCATGGCCACAAAGGGGTCCGACGTCCTCGTGCCCATCGCGTGGGCTGACTCGTCTGAGGCCAATTGGCCCGACGGCGGCAGCGCCGAGGGTTTAGTGATGGCCGTGGCACCCTTGGAGATCTTCGAGGCAACGAATGCGATGTCGCCATGACCAATTGTAACTCAGGGCAGATCGACAGGGTGCGCGCGTGTAGTGCGGCGGCGAAGACGCGGGCAACCGTGGATGGCGAGCTCTGCGGCCTGAAGCTAGTGTGGCTGGAAATGCTCGGCAACGAGGCCTCGCAGCGGCCTGCATGACGGACTCGTAGGGTCCGCTCGGCAAGCCGAAGACGGCGGTGTTCACCCCCAACGGCAAGGGGGAGAAGGTGGGCATCGACGCGATGGCCACGAAGGGCGAGAGCGCCCGGGACGGCAACGGGCTGCCGTGGGTGCATCGCGACGCCCAGCTCGCGAACGGCCTGACGAGGGGGCACGAGCCGCGCCAGCTACGATTGTATTACAACTGTGGTGCTCGGTGGAAGCTCGTACATGATGAGAAACTCCGCAGCGCGAGGCGCCGTGGGACGGAGGGGGTCGGGCCGCTCGACTCGGGCAAGGGCACCCAGGAGGGCAAGGTATACGACGCGGGTGGACAGCCCGATCAGCATTGCGAGGGGCTCGTAGAGGACAAGACGGAGCTCGAGACAGAAGAGGGTATCATCAACGAGAGGATGCGCAACTTGGAGAATTTCCCCTCGTGCAGTTGGCGAGTTGAGCGCGGCGGGGCAAGCTTCTGCATCCGCGACCGTTCTGGCTCGAAGGGGGCGGTCTCCCTCGGCCGCGCCGGCTCGCGGAGTTTTTGAGGGGCCGCGCGAGGCGGCCGATGCAGAGATTGGACTGATAGAGAAGGGATTGATTTGCGTTTCAGACATTGTGAGAATGCATCGGCGCCCCGCAAGTTCATTCCGATTTGATAGGTGCGGCGCCGCGCAAATGCAGCACAAACGCAATGCTGGAAGGGCGCGGCAATTCGTGCCGCCTGGACAGGCGAGAGCAGCCGCGCCCCCGTGCGAACCCGGATCCCGCGCGGGGCGCGTTCCCGTTGACAATGGCTCACCCGGGAAACAGTTTCTTGCGCAGGAAGTCCGGAGCGGTCTGCCCATCGGCGGCTCCTTCGGAGGAGGCCCAGAACCACAGAGAAACCGTTGTTGGTGGGAAATTCTAAGCGGTTTGCCCATGTTCGGTTCCTTCGGTGTAGGCCCGAAGACTTCGAGAACGATGTTTTTGCGAGGGGTCCTGGGCGGTTTGCGCATTTTCGGGTCGTTCGAACCGGACCCGAGTGTGTTTTGGCACATGTCCTATGGGATTTGGCCACTTTCAGGTCGGCGGGTGAACTTTCGGGTCGTCGTATAACCGAGCCCGAAAGCTTTTTTCGAGGAGGTCCTATGCCGTTTGCTCATGATCGGGTCAGCACACCGTTTGGGATTTGAAATTTTAAATTGGGAGGGGGAACCCGATCCCGCGACCCTGGGCGGGGCCCTTGCATTGTATTGGGCCCCTCCGGCCAAACGGGGCACTGGGCTGCCCATCGGCGCGCGACGTCGCCCCCATCCGCCGTCGGGCCCCGCGAGTTTTATCCTGCGCGCGCCACTCCAGATGGCCGCGGCGAGCATGGTGGCGAAATTGGGGAAACTTTCGGATCGGCGCAGTCTACGAGAAGAAGTTGAGCACAATGCGTGCACTTCTGGCGAGGACTACCGCGAGAACGCTTGCGGCTTGAACCCCCCTCTGGGGCCCCCCTCGGGGAACTCCTTGGGTGTTCTTGGGCGTCCTTTGGCCCAGTCTTGGGCCCCCCTTGGGGTGCTCTTTGGTTCTTTCTGGGGCCGTTCGTCCCTGGGATCTTTGAGTTCCCGGAATCATGTTCGGTATTCTACATTATTGTACATTGCATTGCGTTGCATTTCGCTGGTTTTCTTCCGTTGGGTGTGCAATTGCGTTGCTTCGTGATCCACAGTGCAGTAGTGAGCATTGCTGTACTTTGCTTTGATGTTCGTTGCATTGCATTGCATTGTTGTGCATTTGTTTTGCTAAGTTTTGTTTGTATTCTTCGAGCCACATGTGAGCCGCATCTCTTTTGATTGAATCGCAATGCGTTGCCAAACGCTGCCGTTTCGGTCACTCCATCGCTTGCACTGGTGTGCATAGCTTCGCAACGGATCATGCAAACCGTTCGTGGGTGTTTACTTCAGTGGCTATGTGAGCGTGTCAGACGCAGGAGCTGACTAGAACGTAAGTACGCGAAGCGCGCGCGTGCGTCTAGTTCGTGATAAGTGATACCTCCTCGTCGCACCACCAGACGTTGCGGTAGGGTGGGCCCGGCGTTTCTTCAATTGGCACCGGCGCGCAAAGTACGATCCTGAAACTTGGAATGTTCATTCAGTTATTCGGATGGAAGGCGGATTGTTTCTAAGTGTTTCTCTCCCCCTATTGCCGCGCACTTGCGTCACAAACCATTTTCATGAGGAGTTTCACTTATGAATGGTGGCTAGTATTCAACACGTGATTCTCGTCTCTACGCCACGCGCATCCGTTGCGCACCTGTGTTAACAATTGCGCGGGATAGTACGTTTTTATCAAGGAGGAGGAGGCGGAAGAGGAATCCTCCTCCTTCTCCTCCTTGTTTCCCCTTTCCCTCCTCGTCCTTCTCCTTGTTTCCCCTGTCCTTCCTCGTCCTCCTTCTCCGCTGATTTCCCCGCTGCGGCGTGCTAGGGTTCCGCGTATGATCATACGAATTGTCTTGTACTGTGCTGTGGCTTCCTGGTCTCTGCGGTGTTTCGCCAAGTTGTATGAGTAATCGGTCGGATCATAAGGGGATGCACGCACAACGCTGTAATACATCTGCATTGGCAGCGATGTCTCTGCTTCGCGCTCTGTTTGCACTTGGCTTGTGATGCGACCAGCACGCGCACGAGCTACAGGGCTAACGGCCTATCATGTGGATGCCTGCGAGGGAAAATCAGGCGCAACAAACTACGCGGGTGGAGGGCGATCACAGTGGAATACACGCTTTATATTTGCAAACCCGCATATCCGAAATTTAGCCACGCTCAGCAATATCACGGATGGAGGACCGTTGACTTTCAAGATGGGTCTCCTTTTTTCTGCCGAGTTTGTTATATATTGCAACCCCGTGCTTCAAACTTGTGTGACGGTTGCACCGATGGAGCGCGGCTCTTTCTCAACATGAAGCTTCCGTTTTGTACTTATTTTTGTTTGCACGTCGCAATTGTCATGCGTACAAGGGCCAGGTATTGCAAGGGGGTCACACAGAGCATGTGACGCCACCAAGTGACCCTCTTGCGATCATAGAGCGTGTGACGCTCCAGCGCCGCTCGGGTCTGCAGCTTCAGAGTATGTGAAGCGGCCTTCTGTCCTGGTAGGATCGATCTACACCGTGTGCACAGTCTCCCGAGCAAAGGGCCGCATATTGCTTCGGGGGGTCGTGGGCTTGCCCCCAGTCGCTGCTGCTGGAAGAAACCCTGGTCTGCTCAGAGAGGCGAAGGAGGGCATGAAACAAGACAAGGAGGAGGCCGGCAGGGCAGGTGCAACCGAGACTAGGTTGCTGCTCTGGTTGGCAGCCTTTGGGGTTACGCCTAGGCCGCAGGGCATATGGCATGTCCTGAATCTGCGAAAGCATGGGTGACCATAAGCAAGAGCAGGAATCTCAACGAGGAGAAGGATGTGCCAGCCCCACGCTCTGTCATAACACTGTAAGATGTGTGGGGGGTGGCAATTGAGGCCTCGAACCTCACAGATCAGATTTCTTGGGGTGACGGCGAATGAACGTCGCTTCCAGCCTCAACCATCGAAGCAGCAAGACAAATTACTGACCAGTTCCGTGGGAGAGAATTATTCTGTCTCACAGAAAGTAGAGCGTCCATACAACCATTACGGAGGCATGGGACCTTTCGCCAGGGACGTCCCGAGGCAAGACCCAATTTCCTAAACAGTCCTTGGTCGATATGCGAGAATGTGCCAGCTCTCTCAGAGCCCCTGGCATGTTGCATGCCAGCTGGAGTGGGGTTTCTCATGAGCGAGATGAGGGGTATCAGTGAGGACAAGATTTTCACCCATGCTCTGCCAGAGAAAGAGCAGAGTTGTGGTGGCCTATGAGTGACTGTTGCACCCAAAACGAAGCTCGTGAGGACGCGCTGAACCTGCAACGCTGTTGTCCTCAGAGTCTAAGCGACAATGTAGATAAACTTATCTCAGCCCGCAGCTCCATGGGCGGGCTCGTGAAACTGGGGCCTACGTTGCACGTTAACGATACACGGAGCTGCTTGCCTGGCAAATCCAACGACAAGACCCGGCCGCAAAATATTTCTCGCGACGTACCCGACCCATTTGCATCAATTGAGAAGAGGAGTTGGCCCAAATTTGCCAGGACAATGATAGTGCAGGCGCTCGTGTGGCACGACTCACGGGACAACAACAACAAGAACGAGTAACGAGGGCCCAGGCTTGATGAGGACATGGGGGCGGGAACGAAGGGCAGGAGAAGGACGCGTGGGGGGCCGACCCGTCAGCGCGGCAGCAGCAGAGGGAAGGTGGCAGGGGGCAGGGGACGACGACGAAAGTGACGGGAGGATGCCGAAGAGTGTTGCTTTTGTCGGGAGCCCGCTAAAGATGCAGCGCTGCCTGCGCCATGTCGCCGAGGCGTCCGACAAGATATTGAAACTTGCGTGTAGTTAGTGCCACAGGCGAGCGAGACCTAGCTCGCCCGCCAGTTTCCCTGCTTTCTTCCTGCGCTCTTCAGTGCGGGATCTACACGCTCGAAGGCGCGCCGCCAGGTCTGCGGGCGGCCCGCGACAGCGCCCCGCTAGACCCCCCAGCAGCCCTCGAACGTGGTGACAATTTCGCAGATCGCAGCCCCTCCAGGGATGGCGAGGTCCAATTTGAATCTGGGTGGTGCCTCACTCCGCTGAACCCCCCAGCAAGCTTCGAAAGTGGCGACAGTATCGCAGATCGCAGCCCCCCAAGAAGGCGAGGTCTAGTGTGAGTCTGGGTGGCGCTTCACTCTGCTGGCCCCCCAGCAGGCCTCGAGCATGGCGATCGTTTCGCAGATCGCAGCCCCCCCCCAAAAAAGATGGCGAGGTCTAATCTGAGTCTGGGTGGTGCCTCGCCCCACTGACCCCCCAGCAGGCCTCGAAAATGGCGCCAGTTTTGCAGATCGCAGCCCCCCAGGGACGGCGAGGTCTAATCTGAGTCTGGGTGGTGCCTTGCCCCGCTGGACCCCCCCCCCAGCAAGCTTCTAAAGTGGCCCCAGTTTTGCAGATCGCAGCCCCCCAGGGATGGCGATGTCTAATCCGAATCTGGGTGGTGCTTCATTCCGCTGGCTCCCCCAGCAACCACCGAAAGTGGCAGCAGTTTCGCAGATCGCAGCTCCACAGGGATGGCGAGGTCTAGTATGAGTGTGGGTGGTGCCTCAGTCCGCTGGACCACCCCCCCAGCAGTCCTCGAAAGGGGCGACAGTTTCGCAGATCGCAGCCCCCCCCTCAGGGATGGCGATGTCTAATCGGAGCCTGGGTGGTGCCCCATTCCGTTAACCCCCCCAACAAACTTCAACGCATGACGACAATTTCGCATATCGCAGTTCCCCACCGAGCATCCAGGCACGACGACGAGATGGGAGGCAGGGTCGCAGGCAAGTAGGAGAGATGAACGGATGAGGGGAGGCTGGAAACGGACGGATACCACAGTGCTTGGTTCAAAACGAGTACCCAACGCAGGGGGTTTCGTGATCTTGTGGTAGCTCCTCATGCTGATTGAATTGAAGAGTGACAAGACTTGCGCTGTCAACTGCCTACCCATGAACACCCGTTCTATTGGAATCCAGCTTAGAGTCCACATGTGACTGATGATTTGGCAGTCAAGAGTTGGATGGCACACGTTTGGTTTTCACACAGTGTGGCTAGCTAGTGCGAGCACGTTTCTCTTAGGGAGAGCAATTTCCAATCAGAGGCAAACGTCTCTAGAAAGGATCAGCCGAAGTCGCCTGCGCTTGGCAGGCGTCTCCTCTGGAGCGTCATGCTGCGCAGGCTCACCATGGCCTGGGGCCCGAATCCAATCCCAGATCCAGGACTTGGATCTGGGAGCTGAGCGGAACAATTTCAAAAGAAAAGGTCGCTGCGAGCCGTCTGGCATTGTCCCCAGAAGCCTGGGTATGTAGTGGGAGACCGCTTGGCATGAGAGCGCGTTGCACGAGTGTAGCGTCAGCCTTGTCATTCTGTGCGAATTGCCACTACTAACAGGGAGGCGTCCAAGTAAGTTTGAGGCGAAAGAGTAAGAGAAGTGGAGTCCATGGCGCTGGGGGAGCGCGCGGTAAGGGCTCTGGGCAAATTGGCTTGACCCAAGGGGGCCACGCAAACGAGGGAGTGCGTGAGGAGGGAGGACTATTCCCCTAGAGCCCTCCTGAATCATGCAGTGGAACATCCTGCAACCCTTGTAGAGACCATGGCCCGCTCATTTCGTTTCACCTTTCCCTACTCCTGTGAGGGCATGTGGATGATGATGAAAGGGTCCAGAATATGACCCCACACCAATGCCGCCACAATCAGTTTTCAGTGCGGGTATTCGTCGGTCGTGTGTATAGTGCGTCTTTCTTGGGGGGACATGTGGACCATCCCAACGTCGCCATAACGGCTCGACTTATCTGCGTCTTTGCCCCACATGGGGGTTGTGCACATATTTTGCGCTCTCAGGATGGGGCGTTCGATGAGGATGCGGACGCCGATATATTCTAATAACTTTTCTCAGAAACACAGCCTGCTCCTTCCTTCTCGTCCTCACCCTTTCTTCTTCTCCTCCTCCACCTCCTCTTCCTCTTTGAAGGGAGGAGGTGGAGGAGGAGGAGGAGGAGGATCAGGAGGAGGAACAGGAGGAGGAGGAGGAGGAGGAGGAGCATGAGGAGGAGATCCGGAGATATTCTCGGGCACGGATCCGACATGCATCGGCGAGGGATGCTCGAATCCAGACAGTTCTCAGAAGATAGTGCCCTTCATTCTCTAGTGATGCGCGGTGCTGTACAGGGGTATCCTGCTGCGAACCGTTGCGCACATCGTCTTTTGGGGTGTGGCTTGTCGCTGGCCCACTGTGGGATTGCGCCCCCCAAAGCGGTGCAACAAGTTTTTCTCCATGCTGTACACGCGACTGCAGCAGGAGGAGGAGGACAAGGAGGAGCAGGATGAGGAGAAGGAGGAGGAGGAGGAGGAGGAGGAGGGGCTGGCCGATAAGGTGTACGGGAGGGAAGGTGCCTGGGCGCCCGCTGCCTGAGGCTTGCCGTACCGCGCTCGAGGGGGAGCCGTGCTACCTCGAGGTGCGCTGGGCAATGCGGACGGGAATCCACAGGCACCCCACGTGGTACGTCGGCCTCAGCGAAAGGTCCTCTCATCTCTCTTGCCTCCTGTGACGTTTCGCCGTGGATGACGTCGCGGGTGGCGTTCCCAGCTTGTCCGTCTCACGTCACGGCCACAAGCGCGAAGTGTTGTCTGAGGTCTCGTGAGGCAAAATCGACCTCAGCGAAAGGTCCAGCTGGGCGCCGTCGTCGGGGGCGTCGTCGTCGTCTGTCGTCGGCGGCGCTCTGGGGACCTTGCGGGTCGATCTGGCTTGAGAGACAAGTCACGAGCACGTGGTCACCACGAGCTCCGTCCGTGATTTTACTGCAGGGGCTTGCGTCGGATGCCGGGAACTTCCTTCAACAATGTGGGCCAGGCATTTCCACCCACCGTAAAATTATTTGTTTCCCAAGGCTCCTCTCCAAATCTCTTTCCTTTCCCTCTGGGCCCTTCCCCATGTTCACCGTTTGGGCGTTTATTGACTTCCCTTTGGTCAAGAGGACCAGTGACATTGTTGACCCAAGGCTGATGTCCTTGGGAACACTCCGTTATCCGGGGAGTCTTCCTGCAGTTTTCCAAGGGGCCTTGTTGCTTGCCTTTGCTTGTCTCCCGTCCCCCTGCTGCTGTGCGCTGCTTGTGGTGCTCTCCTTCCTTCCTGCTCTGCTGCCTCCTCTCTCTCGCTCGCTTTCCTGCCTCTCTTCGTGCTGCTCTCGCCTCTTCCTCTTTCCCCCCTGCCGCTTGCTTCCCTCTCCCTGCTTGTGCTGCTGCTGTCCATCGTTCTGCTGTCTTTGTAATTCCTTTCCGGGTTGTTGCTTCCATGGAGTGGAGGTGCGGCTCTTGCCGGTTGGACATTCCAGTGTGTACGGCTCCTGGGGCTTGGGGCTTCGTTGCGTTGAAAAAAAAGAGCTTGCCTTTGCTAGTGGGTTTGGCTCGCTTCTAGCTTGCTCGCCGACTGTTTTTCCTGTGCCCTGAACCTTGTGGCTTGCCTTGTCCTTCGCTTGTCGGTATCTTGCCTTGGGCTTGCGTTTAGCCTTGCAGTCTGCGCGTTGCCTTGGGCTTGCCTCGAGGGCTTATCGTGAGGCTTGTACATTAGCTTGAATCTTGCGTTCTGTAAATACTCATGAGATCGACCTTGAATTGACTATTCGCTTTCCTTGAATATGCTCGGTTGCCTTCAGCTTGCCTTCTATGCGCTCTTCTCTTGTATTGGCTTGCCTCCCGCTTGCGCTTAACTAGCTTCCGTGTATATTGTGTACCAGTGCGTGATCTGGTACTGCGTATCCAGACTCCATCTCTTTGAAAAGAACGCCCAGTGTTCGGCCCCCGCTCGTGTCACTTTTGCGGGCTTCTCCCCGACACATTGAGCGTCCTCCACGGGACCATTCCCCATCGTATTCTCTACATTAAACTTTTTTTTTTTTTTTTTTTTTTTTTTTCTCTCTCTCTCTCTCTTTTCTTCCTCGGGGAGCCATCTGTCGCTTTGGTTGCTTGGTCCGAAGTCTAGCCCTGGGCGGTGTTCTGGGCATGCTGCAACGTGCAAGCGGCGCCCTTCGCACACCTGGAGGCCCAGAGGTTTTCTGATACCTGTTTCTATCGACGGGTCCAATCCTCCTCCCACTTCTCCCGCTTCCTCCCCCGGGGCCTCTGGCAGGTCAAGCTTCGAGGACTTCCAGGAATTCATCTACAGCGCCCGGAGGGATGCCCCGTGCCGTAGGCCCTGCGCGCGTGCCGCCACGGTGGCGCCTGTGGCTGCGCCGAAGCCAGGCCACGGGAACAGAACGGCCTCGACCTCGCCACATGCAGACGAGGCTGCAGGATCTGGCGAGCTCCTTCACGGTGAACTGGGCGTCCCGACGACGGCTGCCCCGACGAAGACGGTGCTGACGGCGACAACTCTTCAAGCTGCAGAAGAATCGCCAGCCGATTGCCATACCGCAGTCGACGGGGAGCCGTGCTACAGCCATGTGGTCTGGGCCATGCGCGTTGGCATCGGTAAGAATCCAGAGTGGTATGATGGCCTCAATGGGCAATCGAGCATGGAGGAGTTCCAGACGCATATCCATTGGAACAACCCTGAGTTAGACTGCGACATCCCTTGCGCCTCCACCGTCACCGCGAGTGGCAACACTAGCAGCACTGGGGAACCTCTCCCGGTCTCGACCTCGGCTCATGCACTGCGTAGCTCCACAGGACGCGCTCCCAGAAGGCATGGCTCTTCGAATGACACGCGTAACACATCCTCAACGGGGACGGCGACCACGGCCCCCACCTCGGCAGCATCCGATCAGCGGACCGATCGGCCGCATACAGCTGTCAGCAGCGAGCGGCAGACGCGAGGCAGCCCCATGAGAGGAGGAACCATGGGCGAGGGGGACCGACGAGGGGGAGGAGGGAGGGATCAGGGATAAAGGAAGCAGGGGGCAGCAGGGAGGTGAGGAGGAGGAGGAGGAGGAGGAGGAGGGGATGTTAGAACATGACCATGCGACTGGGTGGGGAGCATTGCCACGCGCTCCGCTGTCATGTGTCAGCGTTTCCGCTGAAATTTGGCTCAAGTGACATGTTCCTTCTCAGCAAAAGGCTCCTACCTGATTTTTATGGTAGCCGAACCCGTGGTTCGCCCCGCTGGTTCCAGAGCATAGATGGCAGCGGCGTCCGGTGCAGCGACTCCAGCGGACCCCGACAACAACGACCCAGGTTACAATGTGTCGTTACTTGAAGTGCGTGAAGGCTGGCATAATTTAGGTAGGAAACCGGATCGCGGAAGTGTGCAATGTCGCTTACGAGAACGGAAATCTCAGGTATGTTACCACCGCCTTCGTAGCCAACCACGAGGGGATCATGCTGTTCGTCGAGCGCAGCGCCATGTTTGGTACCCAGACCGTTGGCGATGATGGGATATTCACGATGTTGCAGATGAGGTGCAATATGCATGCTTCCCGATTTCAGTCATCAGCCGCAGCGTGTACTGCGAGGAACAGGTCAACAACTTTCAGAAACTCGTCAAGACAGAACCCCAACGTCAAGTGAAAGCTTCGGAACATGTGACCAATATCGTCGACGTTGTACAGTCCGCTGGAAGCACGAAAGCTGGATATGGAAACGACCCAGTCAGCGAAGACAACGCCGTTCAACTTCAAAAAATGTTATCGGGTGACCGCACCGAGTTCAGCGAGTGGAACGAGGAGATGCTGAACGCGCTTGCCCAATTCAAGCGCGTTCATAAAAAAAACCTTGAAGCATTTGAGCAACAAGTTTGAAACCGTGGATGGGGCGCTACCCGATGACGAGAAGGACGATTTGATAAATATTTTGAGCGGGAAGGAAACCTTGAGCGAATGCACCACAGCGACATTAACCTACAAACAAGACGACGACTATAACAGACATTTGATCTCGACGAAAACGGCTACGTAAATTTGGTCGAGGACCTTATGTGGTATCTTTGAACGACAAGTTGGAAGGGGGGATCCACGGGGATAAATCAAGGGCTTGCACGAGGGGGATTGTTTACTGGCGTACACACACTTATATGCATGTACATAATATGTATGTTTGAATTTATGTACACATGCATTTGTAGGTGCATATGTATACACATGTATATGTACATATACAGGTGTATGTATAGGTGTGTGCGCGTGTATGTGCATGTGTATTTGTATATGCGTATGTATATGTATGTGCACATATGCCTGTATACGTATATGTCTATGCATATATAGATGCACATGTATTTTTGTAAGTATGTGTGTACCTATGTGTGTTGTATATGTATTTATATATACATGTAAATATTTATGCACATATAAATGTTCACATACATATGTATACATGTGTATGTACATGTTTATGTATGTGCATACGTATGTATACACATATATATATATATATATATATATATATATATTATGTATGTATATATGTATACCCATATATGTCTATGCATATATATACATACGTGTACACGTACATGTTTGTGCTGATGTATATGTACATGTATGTGTATATGCATTTATACAGGTATATGTACATGCAATTGCTCATGTTTATGGTTATGTATGTATGTGAGAGAGAGAGGGAGAGAGAGAGAGAGAGCGAAACAGAGAGGATATCCTTGTGGTATAGTGTGCGTTCCCTTTGTTTTCGCTCAGGATCAGCGTGCAGGGGTCGGTAGATTTTACTTCGTTTGTCCCCCTGCTTTTGATCCTGCTCCTCATGCTCCTCCTCCACCACCTCCTCCTCCTCCCTGTCCCCCTCTTCCTCCGACTTGCCCTTCTCCTCCTCCCCCCCTCCTCCTGCTGCCCCTCCTCCTCCACCTCGTCATGGTGGCCCCGCGAGGCTCGCGATGCGACCCCTCGGAGATCCTCTCGTAAGGCTGCAGGTGCAATCTTTCGGCTTGGTTCTGAGCAGATGGGGGCGACGACGAGGGGAAACTAACGCTAGCGTAAGAATGTACCGCCGTTTCCGTGTGTGTGTGTGTGTGTGTGTGCGTGTGTGTGTGCGTGTGTGTGTATGCGTGTGTGCGTTTTTCGTACCCGTCATCACCCCTTCTGCTTTTGACTATTGTCTCTGCTCCCTGCTCCTCGTATTCATCGTATTCCTCGTACTCCTCCTCCTCGTCCTCCTCCTCGTCCTACTCTTCCTCCTCTCCCTCCGCAATCCTACTACGACGCAGAACTAACGCCGCGCGTTTTTCCCCCGACGCTGTGCGGACACAGCTCGTGGGAAACTTCAAAAAATAAAAGGCTGTATTTCAAGGGCGGTCAACGAGAATGCGTGTTCTCCCTGATCAAGGCTAGTTGATTCGCATGGGGGACCGCGGCCCATCTGCTTCTGACTATTGCATCCGTTCCCTGCTTCTCGTATCCTTCCTCCTCCTCCTCCGCCTCCTCCTCTTTCTCCTCCTCTTTCACCGCAGAGGGCGGAACGATCTGGCGGTGCTGGTAGGGGGGGGCCCTAGACTCAAAGTGCAGCGTGCTCTGTTGAGAGGCATCCGTCCTGCGATTTACCTTTCTCCCCTTCGTGCCCCTTCCTCCCCCCCTCGCTCCCTTATCGCCTGTCTGCGTCTCCGTCTCGTCAAGTGGTTTTCGATCACCCTCGAGACCTCAGCGTCGTTCGACTGGGACGCCATCAATTCTATGCTCGCCGAGGCCCCACCCTCTTGGCGACTGGCCGCCATCCGCACTTGGACGGGAGGTTGGGTCACTGACACTAGACTAAGGAATGCCGACCAAGGCTGCCTGCTCGGCTGCGAAGGTGCCCGAGATAGCCTATCACATTACATCAATTGCCGCCGATTTCTCTGGAATGTTGCGATGGTCTCCCGTCTCTCCCTCCCTGCCTCCACCTCTGACCGTCTCGCTCTGTCGGAATGCTCGCTGGTGCGGCTGCGCCAGATAGTCATTCTTTATCACTTCCACCGTCTGCTGCATGCGAAGCGACGAGCTCCTGGCTCGGCCGCGCCCGACCCGCCGTCGTCTCTCCTCATTGCCCGCGCTGCTCGCCTCGCCACTGACCTGCCGATGGGCGAGTGGAGGCGCGCGAGCGCGCGGCGAGAGAGGGGCCAAGGGTAGTTTGACCAAGGGACATCCATGGACGCTCCGCCTCTTTCTCCTCCTCTTTCTCCTCCTCCTCTTCCTCCCCCTATTGCTCCTCTTCTTCCTCCGCTCTCTTACTGTGACGCAGGACTAAAGCCGCGCATTTTCCCCCCAAAGCTGTGCGGACACAGCTCGGGGAAAACATCCATAATAAGTACATGGCTGTAGTTCAAGGGTGGTCAACGACAATGCGTGTTTCTTTGATCGATGCTAGTTGATTCGCGTGGGGGGGGGCGCGACCCCTTTGCTTCTGACTGTTGCAATGGTTTCCTGCTCCTCGTATCCCCCCTCCTCCTCCTTCTCCTCCTCCTCGTCCCAGTCTTCCTCCTCTCCCTCCGTTTTACTACTGCGACGCAGAACTAACGCCGCGCATTTTTTTCCCGAAATTGTGCAGACGCAGCTCGGGGGAAAAATCCACAATAAGTAGAAGACTGTACTCTAAGTGCGGTCGACGATAGTGCGTTTTTCCCTTGATCAAGGCTAGTTGATTCGCATGGGGGGCCGCGACCCTTTAGAGCTTCCAAGATGGTCCAAGAGGGGGTTCCAGAGGGCCATCGATAGCCCGATATGGCCTCCAATGCAGCTCAAGATGCTTCAAGATGGGCTGGGATAGCCTCCGACATGCTCCGGAATGCCCCAAGGCGGCTCCAAGACGGTTCCAAGTGCTCTTCGATCCTTCCAAGGACCTCGCCAAGAGGCCCAATTCCTTCAAACACCTACGGAAAATCAATGTGTTTTGATTTCTCGTCTGTTCGCTTCCGATCTGCCTTTGAAGCCCCAGTGTGGCTCCAAGACATCCTAGGAAACACCCGAGCGGGGCCCATGATGGCCCCAGCGGGCAGAGCGGGGTGCAGAAACCAGATCCAGAATGCGTCGTCGTCGTCGTCGTCGTCGTCGTCGACGACGACGACGGCGACGATGACCGTGTCCGCGGCGCCGGCTCGCTCGAGAAGCGGGGGGGGGGCCGCCGCGGAAGGCGCCGGACACCGCCAGGCCGCAAAGGTAGTGGGCGCTCCCGAGGCCCGGCGAGGGCTTTCGGAACTCGTCTAAAACATTTGATTGTTCCTCTTAGAGCAGAGTGCGCAGTTTCCCACGGAGCAACAAATTCGCCGACCCCTTCAGGTCACTGGCGCGTGGAATCCTTGCCACTCCTTGAAGTCTTCGCGCTGGTTTCGCTCCCTCTTTCCGGAGCTTTTTGGGCGCTTTCCCCCGCGTCCAGCTTGCCCAAGATGGTTTCCAATGCGGACCTGGGAGGGCACGTAATGCCAAGGCGGCTCAAGATGCTTCCAATGCGGCCGAAGTCGGCTCCAAGACGGACCCAGGCGGTCTCGGGAAAGTTGCCAAAACGATACCGACCATTATGACTCAAGGATAGGTCGAGATGGCCTCAGGACCGCCCAAGAAGCCTCGAGACGGCCCGAAATGGCTCAAGATGCCCTCCTCGCTTCCTCCTGCTACGATGACCCAGGCATCGAAACAGTGGAACTCGCCTGCGAATTTTTGCCGCAGGGTGGCGCGGACGCAGCTCGGGGGAAAAATCCACATACTATACGGCCCTTGTTGGGAGGACGTTTGCGATCACGCGCCCCAGGGTGCGAGCTCTTTAAGCTCTGCGGAAGCGCCCGACGTGGCCGAACTAGGCCCAGCGCGGGTCCAAAAATCAC